CACGTATTTTTTGGAAATTTTCCTGTTTTATAGGCTATATTATAATCTTGCTTTGCTTGTAGACTTCCTTGTCGATGATCTTTTAATTGAATAATGGCACGAAATATATTTAATAACCAGTCGACATTAGTTATAACCATCCCGTTATCGCCTATTTTATCACAGTAGATTACCTCTCCTAATTCCTGTAGATACATTAGCGCCGCTCTCAATTCATCATAACTGTCATATAATCCACATTCTTGTGATAAGGTTATTATTTGTTGCATAGTCATAATATTACGTACTTGAGTGTCTCGAATTTGGTTAATAATAGAAGACAAGCCTTGATTATGATGACTACGGATACATTTATTCAGTATTGTAGCCATAATATATCGTCGAAAAGGAAATGGTTCATGAATAAATTGTAATGAAAACGAAAATGTCTTAATAATATGATGTAAACGATTGCAACATTCTCGACGCTGATCTACTGCTGATGGACTGCTATCATTAAGATTGCAATTGAAAATAATATTAGAAGAGTAGATGCTGCTCGTATAAAACGGCATAGAAGAGATCAATTCATCGACATATTCATCATATCAAAGATTTCGTTCTACTTCTGTTGTACAATCACCGTAAGAAGCTACCAGAATAATGATAGGTAAGGAAAATTCTGCATCCCTGTCATCAATATTAACGTAAATTTGGTTTCGACTGCTGTGGCAACATATTATTGATACCAGCAATTCTTGAATAGCTTGCGAATAGGTCATATTGAGTAATTGCCCTTCTCTTGTCTTAACTAGATCTTTGACACCTTGCTCAATACTAAATACAAGAAAATAAATACTATTGGAAGACCTAAATAGATATTGACAAACATTGTAAATAGCTGGATCACTGAAATCCCATACTTTCACGTATTGATTATCTTCAAATTTGTCTTTATTTTCGTTTATTCTAGGCGCATAAGATTCTGCAAAACTAAATTTAGACTCAGTCTTATTAGAAGCATCTGCTATATTATCACTACTCATAGAAGACTGCTTATCGTCATCCTTTACAATGGTTAAAGATAGATTATCTACCATTGTTAGCTGATCTTGTTGACTTTTATTTGATTTTTGCATGTCGTTATTTTGTTGACTTTCTAGCTCTGCTATAGAAAATTCCCTTATAGCGGTCTTAATTTTATCATCTAACACCTCAGTAAAATTATATGTCTTTGAATTTTGAAGACAATAAAATTCATTGAATTCAGTTTTCAATATGCCATCAGAATGATTAACAACTTTATCTGGAGGTTTATTCTTGTTTGATTCTTGTTGAGTAAATACTTTCGCAATAGATCATTTGCCAATACTAGGTGGGCCAATAAACTTACCATGTATCAAATCATTAAAGCAGTAGCAATTATTCAAGGCTTTATCGTATAGATTATAATATTTCTTTTCTCCTAAAACTGTAAATTGAAACGGAAGTTAGAAGAATGATACACAGATTAGACAGTATTTATTTATATTGGCTATGTAAATTAACATACTAAAAAATCAACTACAAGTTTACCTTCATCTTCTGCGTGTCGAATAATATCACTATCAGGATTACTACCGTTACTATTCCTATTTGTTAACGTTGTAAGATTGTTAGCACCGGTGCCTGTAAACACTCCAAACCATCTAACCAAATCGTCCAAATATCTTTCAGCTAGTGTTGTACTTTGATAATAATGTGCTTGTTGCTGCTGACGAGTTGTTGCGACATGATTTCTAGTCTTCTTAACGTAGGGATGATTCTCGCCTAAAGCCGGTAGGATAGCTTTAATTGTCTTGTGAAACATAGAAAGTGCCTCATCGTACTTGCCCTGTTCCTTATAGATAACCCTTTGGCCGTTATATAATTCAGCAATAAAGCTATAATCGAAATCGACGGCTGACGGTCGAATTTGCATAGATTTATTATATAGAGCTAATATGGACATAGTTGGTACTTTCATCAACTACATGGAGGAGAATTACCAAGTCTATGCTATATGTGCATGCCTACAAATGATTTCTAGTCAAAATAATATACCAATCTCAGCTCTAAAAATGCTGCACAGTGCAAAATAGAACAGAGAATTTGGACAGTCTCCACGCTGCACTACGTTATTTTAAGTAAACTTACTTCTTAAAGCTTGCTAAACTGTTTCTACATGAAGTTGATACCAATGCAATAAGTTCAAAACCAATATTGAGCGGTTAACTGGAAATATCAGGGTAATTTTCTCAACTCTGGTTAAAACAGGTCATGACATTTTAAAGGTGCACTAACGAATAATGTGATAGAAATTCAAGCAAATGTCAAACTTACCAATTTAATTTTTTCATTACTGACTAATGATAGTTTGATGCTTTTTTTTTTTGCCAAAATGTAGGTATAATTCTATCAATTCCACTGTATGCTGCTTATTCTAACGATGAGCAAAGTCAGCAAATAGAACCAAATAGAATTGAAGATGGCATACGAGTAAACTTCTACCCACTAAAAATCCTATTACATTAGGCAAAAAATGTTCCCTACAACGTAGCCAGTTCAAAGGTAATCGATTTTCAACCCTCAATATGCGCGTACAAATATAATGGTGGTGAAATGATATTCTGCCATGTGCATGTTGTTGGATATGTCCAAATTCATGATTCTTCAAGGCGCCATTTCAGCCCAAGTGTTCTATGAGATACTATTGAAACTATGCAGCAATTGCTGTGCCAGGCTTGTACGGGTTCAGAGCAAATGTCATTTCTTCGCTTGCCTTCAAGGTTTCGTTGTGGTTAAAGTTGGGCAATTGGTTATTTTGTTGACCGTAGTTTGTTATTTCAGGACACAGCAGGCACGACTGTTGACCAATGGCCCATAATCTACAGCATTAACTTTACTTTATCATCCAGTTCAAAAACTTTATATACTGTACTCTACTCGATACAAGTAGCAAGAACTACTAAATTTGAAGAGAGAGGACATATCATAATGTCCAACAAAATGGTCAATATGATACTGTTGAAGGCGTAGTCAAAATTCGCCGTCGAAATTATCCTTTATTAAAGCATTTTATTGAGTAACAACATCGCACTCGATAGTGTTAGGTAGGGCATACCAAGTAACCAAATATAATCATCACTTCTTTGGATTGTGTAGCCATTTTTTGATGGTCATTGTAGACAACTTTATAGGCGAGCAGATTTCCAATTGTAAAGTATTTGCTGACACAGCTATAAACTAGCAGCTATCCAATCAAGTCACTATCAGTCAGTCATGTTGGCCATTAACGAATTTACAAGAGAACTGATTCTATGTTGCATAAGAATGCATTTCACAACTTTCACCAAGGTACATTTTCTACATGCAGTGAGGAATCCTTTCAACTGGTATATGGCCGTAGCCATTTTCAACGATTTACTATTAGATGGTCATTAGCATTGAATTCACTGCTGTTTATATACCAAAGACACAAAGTTTCCAATCTACTTTGAAAAACGAATGGATAAAATAGTCATAGAGTTATCGGTGATGATGGCATGATTTAGTACGGCGATTTAGTCATCAGACTCCTTCCACATCGATGATGATTGCACCAACACTAGTGTAAGGCTTTAATTGGTACGAGGAAAGCCAGGTATATTTACAATTAAAGCAATCCAGAAATGATTTATCATCACTTAATCCATCTTCGATATTTACTAACTCTCCACAGCGCGGACACTTAACACTCACTTTTATTCGTATATGACTCATATTTGGCATCCATTTAGTAAGAACGATTCTTAAAGCTGACTCAATGACATCCTTAACATTGGGCTCAACAGCTGCTTTAGTTAGCCTTCTTCTTACTTCTTTAGATTGTAAATTTGGGTGTCGAAAAACTAATTGTAAGGCTATGGCCGTTGATAACTTATCGATAATCAAGTTAATACCAGGGCCAATTTGAAATGAAGCGCAGTTTTGATATAGTTTAACTCTGCCATTATTCCATCCACGCTTTTGCAAACATCGAGAAATCAAGCAGTAAAAGATGTTATAAGAAATATAAGGTAATTCCTTCTCATCAAACCCTAAATAGATGTATTTCGATGTGGTGCTATTCGATGGATATAATGTATCACTCTTAGGTCGTGTCTTTAGAAGACAAGGAATAAGATAGGTACGATCTATTCCTTGTAATTCACTTGCTTCACATAGAATATCGTAGTGAGTCATAAGAGACAATACGTATTTTCTTTCTTCATCATCTAAATTAAATTTGCTCCAAACGTGTCGAATGTATTCTTCGCTTATTTTACCTGTATTCTGAATCTTCTCGTAGTCACCCGAAGAGTCATCAGCATGAGAAGACTTGAAAAATGAAATTCGAATTAATGAACAAAACACCTCAATTGGCCAATCAATATCCGAAACGACCCAATTACTTAGAATCTCGTCTTTATCGCAATAAACAATTTGTCCGATATTATGCAAGTAAGATAATAAACCATCTAACTTCTCGCCTTGCTTAGATAGATGATGTTTGTCTACCAAGTCTTTAACTTGTGTTTTAGTCAGTAACTTCTTTATTGTTTTATCTTCTCTTTCTCCACGAAGTATTTGAATGATTTCATACCATCGAACTGGAATAGGATTCGTTATAAATGGTAATTTTTCTGCAATTGTTGTAAAGATTTGACATAACTGTTTACGTGTCTCGTCTCTTAGACGTTGAGTTGCTTCGCTGTTATCGTTGGTGTGACAAGTATAGATGTTTGGAAAAGGCCATACGGCCAAATTCACGTGATATGTTGTTATAAACTGCTTGTATTTTTCTATTTTTTTCTTCTTCATTATTAGCTACAATCTTATCTGCATGACTACCGATGACAATGACAATGGGCAATTCATAATTTTTACCATCGATCGTAATCTCATTTCTAGCATTACTCCCTAAACCATGGCTTAACTCCTTGCATCCATGTACAGATGATAACCATTCATGCATTCTTGCAAAGTAGGTCATATCTGATTTTAAGTTGTTCCTTAGCTGTATAACATCATTAATCTCTTCAGCAATATTAAATACAAGAAGATAAATGCTATCACACGACATAAATGGTTGATGTGTAACGTGATATTCTGCCTGATCTCCGAAGTCGCACAATACAGCATGTAGATTGTCTATTTTTGACTGCTGTGATTTCTTACTTTCATTACTATCTGTATTTGCCTTTTTTATCATGGAAAGTTTCGGTCTAAGTTTGCTATACTTGCTGCGAAGTGATTTATCGAATACATTCGTTCTTTGCGATTTCATATCGGATAAGGTCTGTCTTGTAACTTGTAAAGATGGTGATTGAAGAACTGCTAACCCAACTTTACTATCAGCGAGAGTGCCCAATCCAGTCTTCATCATATCACCAATATCGAATGTAATCAATTCTATTAGCGGATGATTACTACTAGCTACTTGTGTTGGTGCTTCATTAGCCGATAGTGACTGCTTAATTAGCACTTTGAGTAAAGTTGTTTTACCTACATTTTCTGGTCCGATAATCATAATTCTTATAAGATTGTTCTTACATTTTCCTTCTTGTAATGCGCAAATGAAATCGCGAAAATAATCCAGTCCAGCTATGTTACGGAACGAGAGTTAATAAGAAGGATGAAGTTAACAAATTTTGTTTTCAAGTTAAAAGCTTATATAGTATTTACTGATATTCATTTGAACTACATCTTTCATATTGTGCAATCTTTAACAAATTATTGTAATTATCATACGGTAGCTGATAACTGCCGTTTAGTCAAAAAGTCTTGCTGTAGTTAATGCTGTGTCATATATTTATGAATTTATTACACTTTATTATGTTATATTACAAGTAACCCTGCCATGATTACATTAATTAAACTAATTTTTCTATCGACCCACTTAAAATATTCTAAAATAATGCAACAAAAACAGTAAATAAAATCCATTATGATTTATTCAATACTATAGATCTTGTTTTGCTACATGATAAAATACAAACAAGTTTTCACAGAATTATATATATCTTTACTATCCTCCATCTAAATTCTTTTATTGTACACGCTATACTATAGCTACTTAATAAAATTTAATGTAATGATACACAAAAAAATATACAGTACGTACAATAGTCTATTTAATAATGTCATTGTATATTTAATATACCAATACAACGATACTTACGATAAAAGCTTGTATTACTTACGATGAAAGCTTGTATTGGAGTGGTTTACAATTCGACATCCTCCATGATGCGTTGGTTTACAGCTCAATCCAACTAGGATAGCAAAAGCAAGTTGTCTAAAGTTGCAACAAGTATGGCAAAGCTACCAGCGCTTCCGTGGTGCTTTTTCAATCAGTTTAGGTTCTTCTAGCATGCATGGTGTAAGCATTCCAAACATGAGGATAGAAAGGTACATTCACTGAAAGCTTATGTCGAGGTAGTTTACAATGCGATATCACAAATGATGTGTTGATTTCTAGTTCAATCCAAGTATTACAGCAAAAGCAAATTGTTCAAAGTTTCAACAAGTATCACAAAGCTACAAGCAACTCCATGATGGTGTTTTATGCAATCCATAAATATAGCCAACGACAAAATTATGACAATCCAACTCCAAGCAGTCTTAGTGTTATTACCATAGAAATAATTTAATCCTTTTTAGGCAGATACTCGTAAGGATCTGGATAAGGTTGGCATTGGCGATTTAGACCATCCCAATCGCGACTTAATGTGGTATAAACTTTAGGCGGCCGATTAGGATCATGCAGTGCGTTACATAAATTACACCAATGTCTTGGTACAACAATCTTCCAGTTTAATTTCCATTTCATGTAGGAGTTGTAAAGATTTTTATCACGGCTAACTTTATGCAAATATTCAGCTAAATCCTTGACAGAAGGGAAATCACGAGCATCAATATACGATTTGGGTGGTGCAATTTTGCGATAATCTGCGCCTCCCAAGACAACCGGGACAACCCCATAAAGTAATGGATTCCATAACTTTTCCGTCACATATTCGGCACATACGGAATTTTCAAAGGACAAATAAAACATGGATCGACTAAATACTGTCTTCCAACAATGCCTATTCGTTCCATTGCATGTCTTATTGCCACAAATACCATAAATGTCGATGGAAATATATTTCGATAAAGCTTGAACATATTTCATTCTGGCATTAAGACAGTGACTTACTGCCCAAGTAACAAGTACATCTTTTCTACCATGATAATCGGGTAGGGTTGCGCGTGGAATTGGCCGCTGAACAGCGTGGCCATATTGAATATCAATATCGGCATTATGATGGTAGGTCATAGACCAGTTAAACATGCCTGCATTGATGAAAAATGGCTTATAACCTCGAGCATAGTAGGGCGATTCAAAATTGTAATACACCCAACGTTGCCATGGCCGACGATCTTTAAAATAGGGCATATGAGCAATATGATCAGGCAAATCGCGATCGTTGAAGACGATAGCATGCGATTTTTTATAGGCCGATCGATTAATGGTTAAGAAGCAATTTTAATCTTGCAATATCGATTAAAATAAGTCCTCCCTAAGGGTAACTTGACAGTAAAATCCATATCGATTTTCCAGCTTCTTTCATAATAT